GTCATAAAACAGCATGTGTGCTACTGTTACATGAGAAACTATCTGTTCTGTAAGCCTTCACCTGAAGTACAATAAAATATTTTAAAAAAAAATATATCTGCCCAGAGACAATTAGAACGTGGAATTTTCATTTTATCCTGTCTTGTAAACCATGAGCAAAAGTTCTTGACAGAATTCCAGATAATAAATGCGGAAGAATGCCAGAATATCACCAGTTTACAACTCCTAATAGAGTACTGGATCTAGGCAATGATCACTAGCAGCAGCTAAAACCATCAGGGGAAAAGCTGATAGAGAACTTTATAATGGATGCATTGGGCTGACAACATCCAAACCTACTCATCGACCTTAACATTACAACACGAGACACATGCAGGCATTAAGTGTCTCCTGATGTGATGCAATAGGAAGTACATAACATCACCTATGAATTATTTTTGTAAAACAACGGAACCAAAGCAAAAAGCTCCTCTAGAGCTCACTATCAGTTCACAGGAAATACAAGGGACAGAAGAAATTTTAAATGTTATCATGAGAAGGCATTCAGTAAAATCCACACTGAAGGACAATTCTACATGACAAACAATGCAGTTTCTTCAAAAATTAAAGGAAAAACATAAAAAGGGAAAAGAAACTGTACAGATTAAAACGAAACTTAAAAAAAGATACCAAATGCAAGGTGTAGCTCTTGTCTGGATCCTGATTCAAATAAACCAATTATAAAATAAATTTTAAAATAATAAGGGAAATTCAAATACTGACTGGATACGTGATATTAAAATTTTAGCAGTCTTAAGGGTACCATGGTCAGGTTCTAAATAGTGCCCGACCTTTAGCGATACATACTGAAGTATGTATACATGAAAACACGTGCCTGGGATGGGATTCAAACTAATCCACTAGGGGGAAAGTAAGAATAGAGAGACCATAGGGTATATACGGGGGTTCATTATTATTCTCTTTATTTTTGAAATTTTCCATAATAAAATAAACTTTTTAAAATAACTGTTTTGATAGTGTTGTATTGTAAAATATTTAAAAATGTCCTTCTTTAATGAAGACTCCCAGGCAGAAAAATAGAGTTCTCTCATGAACCATTAACTGGTACATACTTGCTCAGTTAAACCCTGTAACAGCTACTTAGAAGCTGACAAAGAAAAAATGATTTTTTAAAAGACTGTATAAATTACTAAATATTACAACAGGAAAAACTGAAGTCTTAACACTATTTTAGACTGGCTGGGTGAATTTCAGCAAAGTAGCCTGTCTAAGTAAGGCGTCCCAGTGACAGTGCAGCAAAACACCTGTACCTTCTCATACCATAAGCAGACTGCTACGTTTTCAACAGTTTACTTCAAAGGTCAAAGACTACCAACAGAATCAGGTTTTTAAATTCGAAAGGAAAAAAAAGCAATGAAAGTGAAAAGAAAACGTGTATCCATAAACAGCAACAGGAATATATCTGGTCAATTTTTTAGGAATAGATGAAAATGCAAATCTGTGAGCAAACATGATTTCAACTGACTACAGCTCCCAAAGTTAATACATACCTAAAACCTGACAGGGAAGAGGCACTTTCAATTACTGCCTAATGCATAATTAAGTCCATATTTACAGAATTCAAATTTCTCAAAGTCCACTAAAAATTTAGAATTTTAAATCAAAAGCAGAAAACTTTGATAAGTTTAATTTCAACTCCAGGTAACAGTATGGGCTCTGGAGTCAGATAAATCTAGGTCTGAATCCTAGCTCTGCCATTTTCTAGCTACTAGATGAAAGTTTTTTGACAAAAACTTAATTTTAATAAGCCTCAGGTTTCATATCTATAAAATGGGGGATGGGGGGAATAAAAATTTAATTCAATGGTATGAGGTTAAGCATGGAAAAAGTACTTAGCATGGGACCTGGGACATGGTAAGTGCTCAATAAATAAATAAATGTCCTATCCTACCTCATCAATCCTGAATGTACATTTTCTCACATTCCAACATCTCTGAAATTGGGATGTGTCTCATAATTATGGCATATCATGGTTTAATTGGCAGAGTTTTTCCTTTCTTAGTGGCATATAAAATAATGGTGCATATTCCAATTGACAGCATCTTAGATTCAATGAAATATTGTATTTAATCATGAAGCTATACTCCTAATTTAAGATTATTCTAAATATGATAACCAATTTGAGATTTAAAAAAGTTTCAAAGTCTGAGTAAAATCTTTCCAATACATCACAAACAGAACAGTTTTGAGACAAATTAATTTTGTAAAAAATGGTTTATCAATTCTATTTCTGTATAAAACACATGGGAGAAACCTAGCCAATCAACACACAATTGTTACCACATGAAAAGATACTTTTATCAAACTTTGAATCTAAGAACATACAAATGCTTCTTGTATGATGTCTACAGTAATTGTCTATGCTTTTCCATTTAACTGTTTTAAAAATTCCACATATCCCCATTATTTTTTCTGTCCCAGTTACAGTACAATGACAGGGAGGAATAGGGCTGGTTAAAACAACTCTCTAAGCAGTTTTTTGCTGTCCCTTCTTTCCAATCAGAGATTTGTGGATGTGAGGGATCACACCTAGAATGAGATAAAAATAATATTATTATAAACTTTTAAAGCTGGCTGTATCTTAACATTTTAGTGCCTCAAGCAAAAGAGTAATTATACAAAAAAATAAAATAAATAAAGAAAAATCCCTTTTCCACATTCTGACTCTGTTGAAGTATCTATACTAAGTCCTTTTCCTCTTCCCCAGCAGTCTACGACTCCCTCTAAAACTGTATGCAAAGGTATGTGCATTTTCTAAGAAGAGAAACCACAGCTCCCATCAGATTCTCCAAGGGGTCTGGGATGCAGAAAAGATAAAGAACCGCCAGCTTACATCTTCTCCTAATCCAAACCCATTTGAATCTCTCATCCCTTTCAAGAATATTATTAAGCAACTTCTCACGATCATTTTTCAAACATGGTTTAAAGGGTATGGAAAATATTTCAAACATCAGGCTTTCAGTATCATATACGAAACCTGGACAAAGAACTTACTAAGAATAAAAACAGCATTATATACAGCTACAAGAAGAAACATTTATTCAGTATAATGAAAAGGCTTAGAATCATAACAGACTTAACACCAAGAGAATTAAAGTTTATATACTTTCTAGTTAGCCATTCAAAATTGATCACTGATCTGAATTATGTATTAGTTAGAAACACCAGTAACACTCTAGGCTCAAAAGGTAATACATACCACCCCCAGCTATGGTAGCCTTGATAAGAGAATCCAACTCTTCATCACCACGGATTGCGAGCTGCAAGTGACGTGGAGTGATACGCTTTACTTTGAGATCCTTAGAAGCATTACCTGCCAGCTCCAGTACCTACAAAGAGCATCCATGAAATACTGAATGATGTAGTTTATAAAAATTCAGTGTATATTCCCAATTATAGCTAAAAAGATCACTACAGTATCTATATATGCAGCATACAAAGTATACACACATTTTTCTTTCTTGTATTTCTATAATGCTTTTCACTCTCAAAAGTGTATTATTTCATTTGATCCGTTTTGTATTTGTTTTCTGCAACAGAGCTAAAAACTTGATAAAAAACCTATTATTATATAAAAAGAAATTAAAGATAAGGACAAGAGATAATACTAAATGTGATTCTAAATTACAAATGTGAATGTTTAGAAAAATCATGCATTTTTATATCCATGCAGTCTATTTTTGCACAGCCCTTAATGGCTAAAATTTAATTCTTGACACTGCTAGAAAATTTTTAAAAAAATGTATTAGTCATTTTTACATAACTTATGAACAGTTTTTAACATCAGTGGGCCCTATAATATGTAGGCAATAAGGTAGAAGTCCTTTACTCTATAATGGGAATTTTGAACTAGAGGAATTGTAAAGTCCCAACTGGCTATTCAATTGCATTTTTGTTTTTTGACTCTATAAACTATACTGGCATTACAGAATCTTTAATGTAAGTAATACAAAAATAACCCCACAGAGCCTCCTCATTTAAATATAGTAGTAACCCTGGATATACATTAGAATCAACTGTTGAGTTTTAAAAACACCAGAGAATCAGAGACTGTGATTGGTGTGGGGTAAGGCTGGGCATCAGTGTTTTTTGAAAGCTCCCCAAGCAATTCTAGTATAAAGCCAAGGCTGAGAAGTGATTACCCTGATCTAAAACTCCTGGCTTAGAGTTCAGTATTTTCTCTACCTCTAGTAAACTTAAATGTCTGGAAAAAATGTACTGTCTAATCTTAACCTAAAAAATTTTCATCAAAAATCTAAAAGATAAATAATATCTTCTGTTCAGTTAAGCTGTTTAGATGGGGCTTCAAAATTCTAAGTCAGAATACACCTCAAATATAGTGACCAAAATTGCACACGTGTCTTAAAAGTCTACATCTAAACAAATAAGAACTGGTTTAAGACTAAAAGGGAGAAAGGGGGAAAAAGGTTCTTAACTGTTACTACAGTGCCACAACAAAACCCTTTGTGCATGACATACCAAAGTGTAAGTACCTGTAATTCAATGTTAAACGTTCAACAGGACACAAATAACTTGTAAGTTTAACAAAATGATGGTGATAATTAACATACAAGTTAAATCTAAAGTCTCCAGGCTAGCTCACAACCATACCTTTGCTTAATAAGATCCTTCCTCTGTTTCTACCAGGTTGGCTATCTCTACCACTTGACTTGCTTACAACTGAAATTATTTCTCTTTCCTGGAATAGCTCAAGGAGTTTCATGGTTTCCATTCGTTTTCCTCAGGAGAGGTAGGGACGGGAAAAGTGGTGGCCCAGAATCCAAGAATTAAGAACTGCTGCTCAATTAATTTATCTTCCTCATGTCAAACCGAGTAAGACAGAGCATTTTGTACTTATGGTCATGCACAGAAAGAAAAGGATTAAGTCTTTTTAACTTTTATGTCATCATATATTTGTGATTTTTTTTTTAATCTATCACTCTGGCAAACCTTTACCCCACCCCAAATCTTTATAACTAATAGGTTACGTTGTTAACTTCACGAATATCACCTATTGATTATATGCATACTTCAGAGCTCATTTAACTTGCACCAGTATTTAAATCATCTTATATTCTTTGGTCAGGTCATGTAAAACCATGGTTTTGACCCTCGCTTTACCTTTGGGCATGCCAGCATTCTTTATGACATTGGCGCTGGGTAAGAGGCCAACAGGATACACCTTAAGCCACTACTGAAATAAACCAACTAGCATATATGTCATTTCTGAAATACAATCTATGGGTTTCAGCCATTCAGTCCAACACATTTGGGATTCAGGTATACAACAGAGATTTCCCCCACAAACCTCAGCAGTGAGATACTCTAGAATCGCAGCACTATACACTGCAGCAGTGGCACCAACCCTTCCATGGCTTGTGGTACGAGTCTTCAAGTGTCTGTGGATACGGCCCACTGGAAACTAAAACAGAAATTGTCTTTTAAGTGGGAAGTACTTAAATTTTCAATAATAAAACATTAAAATTTATTCTTAAATTTAATAAAAGATAAATTAATACGGATAAAGTATGAAATAATGAAAAACTTTGCTTTATACATATTTGAAAACAAATCTACTTAGCAACTAACAGTTCCTGGGGCCTGTATTTATATCCTAGGAATTAGCCCCAAATCTTAATGCCTGCTTTTGCCCTCCTAAGGATACAGCAAGATTTTTTTTTAAAGAAATAACCCCACAAGATATTATGAATTAACTTCTGCATAATATGGAGTTTCAATATAACATGGAATGTCAACTGGACATTCCACGTCTCAATAATTATCTCATATTTGATTAGTTACTTAATATAATAGCCACATGCTATTCTGAACCTCAACTACATTCCTTCCTTAGGCCTCTAATTTCATTCTTCTTTCTCTAAGAGGTGACCTGGTATCTAAGAAAAATCATGACCATTCTCTCATTGCTACTCTTCCCTTCTACTTTCTAAGTGAAAAGGTACTTTCTCATTTCCAAAGTACCCTATCCCATTTGTCTGAGCCCTTAACTACTAGCAACAAATTTCTTATGGCATTTCCTCATTCCTTTATTGCCCCACCAATTACTCCCTTTCCAATGGTTCCTTCTGCACATCTAACTTAAAAAATTCTATACATGTCTATGATAATTACTTCCAGTTATGGCCTAGTAGATATCTATTTCCTTTCCAAAGTCAAAATTTAAAAACAAATCCTGAAACCCTTATTTTCTTATTACCCAACCCAAACTTGGCTTCTGTTAAACTACTCTTGAAGGCCAGAAGTTGACATTTTAATTACCAAATCTATTAGCCACTTTTCAGATCTCATCAATAAGGAGAAAAAGCATGAGAATTTGAGTTTAATATCTCTTCCCTAATTGACTATGAGCTCCATAAGAGCAGGATCCACGCCTTATTCCCCTCTGCATCCTCGGTGACTGCCATGTTGTCTGGCACAGAGTAGGATCTCAAAAAAAAAAAAAAAAATTATTAGGCTTCAGAGATTATATATAGTTCTAACACTAACTTTGATACTGCACAGTCTTTTTCTGTGACTCCAAAACCATGTGTTTCTGAAGAGTCCACCATGTTCTCGTGTCCCTCTCCTGTGGTTAGGAAACTCACCCACAGCAAGAACTATCAATTTTACAGAAAGGATTTCAAATCTGTAATTCTATCACTTCTCTTGAAAAGCTGGACTCATATCTGCAAGTTTTGGACATTTTCATGTGGACGTTCTCATGGAACTTAAAAAAAAAAAAAAAAAAAAAAAGACTCAAATTTATCATCTCATAATTTGTCCCTACTACAAACTTTTGTCACTTAGGTTCTAAGCTTTACAGTTTCCTCTTTTTGACCTAGTCTTAACTTCCTTCTCAACCCTCTACCTCTCCCTCCCATTTTCTGCACACATATGCTTTCCATTCCTATCCAACCCACTCTGTTCCAGTATATATTACCCTATATCTAAACCACTGCAATTGTCTCCTACATCTACCTCACATCTCCCTCTTCATATTAAATGCACGTCTAATAAATTCTAATTGAAAATTTACATGGTGCCCTAAAATCAAGAACGTACACATCAAGAATAAGTTCTCATTCCCCTTCTTTTTAGTACCACTTAAATAAAAAACTAGCAATGGCTCACCACTGCCAACAGGTTAAAACTCAGCCTATTTACATAGGAAATAATTCTCACTCACCCAGAAAATTTCAAGTTTGTAGATTAAAGTTGCATCGACTCAAATATATGTGAAGTTTGAAGATATTTAGTGGTCTTGAGTAGATCACTCAGTCTAAAACTGAGGCTATTAGGGAAATATTTAGAGAACTAAGGCAGAGTTCACTACTCTCAAAAATTTTCTCATCCTAAAAGTTACTGCACCATTACAAATACCTTCTTTAAAAGAAAAACTACAGCTTACTCACTTCAATATAATACAACTTACAAAAGAACGAAGAACGTAATTATAATCTAGAAGTAACAGATTTTAGTAGAACTAAATTACCAAATTAAGACCTTTCAACAACTGGCTCTTGTTTGAAAGAAGGGAAGACAAATTAAAGATAGATGCTTTACGATTTAAGTCTTGACCAATCAATCCCATTACTAAAAGTAGTGGTACTGCAAATATATCTTTGTAATTAATGACACGTCTATGGGTTGTGAATTGCAACAGTAAACAAACTAATTTTATCAATGAACTATTACAACATAGATATATTACCTGTAGTCCAGCTCTTTGTGAACGAGATACTGCTTTAGCCTTGGCCTTTCCACTGTCTTTTCCAGCTTTGCCTCCAGCCTAGATGAAAAAAAGCTTCTGATGAAGGGTTGAAAACGCTATTTCAAAATATTCAGGAAACAAAATTTCTTCTAGCTTTACTTTTGGTGGTTAAGAAAATCTAGGTTATTGCTTTTCTCATTTGTAAATATACATTTGATTCCATCACTTATATTAAGTCAACCTTAAACACCTATTTAAAATTTGAGATTTCTAGAAATCTGAACATATTTCCCAATTTTCAGATCGAAAAATCTTGATCAAGTCAATATAACTTTTAAGACGCCCAGAAGTATTTCATAATGAAATAACTTTAAATGTCAACATAACATATATTATTCCCACAGAAATATTTAGGACTTAATCTCTTCTGAGAGAAAAAAAGTCTCTTATTTGGGGGTGGGGAGGGAAAGAGACCTTCAAACTTTCTACTGAAGGGATTTAAAAAATACTACTTTAAATTGACGGAAAATAAATATTTCTCAAGTAACCTTAATGTCCACTAGCAGAGTGGCTAATTAAACCATGGTATATGAAGGCAAAGACTATTATGTAGCCATTTCAACAAATGAGGTACTTATAGATAAATGTGTTGTTATGGAACAACCCACAGAACATATTTCTAAGTGAAAAAGGCGAGGTGCGTGCAAGTGTGGTGAGCTCGTTTGTGTAAAAGTGGGTTATATAGAGTATGTGTGTACACATATTTCTAGGAGGGATTTGCCTACAGGCAGGGAATACTAAGGATATGATATGAGCAGGAAACTGATTTTCACTTATGCACTGTTTGATTTTACATTTAAATCTATTTTTCCACTGTAAAAGGCCTAGTTAAAAAGGAAAAAAAAAAAACAACTAGCATACAAAATTGGCTAGCTCTTTCAGGATCTGTATTTTCAAAGTAGAGGATAAGCTTCGAAATGGTATACCTTTGCAATGCTTCCCTTAAAAACAATCTTAAGTCTTAAGCTAAAATCAACCATGTAGTGTTCCCTAATTGCATGAGTCAGTGAATTTAATGTTCTATTTCTCAAAATCATATGGGGAAAAGAAAAAAAAAACTGCTTTGGGAGGTATCAGAGACAGGAAAAAAAAGCTTAGACACTAATTTATATTCTTTTTCATACACGAAACAATTTAGCAAGTGACTGATTGAAGTTTAACCAAGAGAAGTGACAATCTCTAGATTTTTAACAGGATGCCTCATACAGTTTAACAATTTCTGACTATATACCTATACAAGACAAATCAGCAATATATTCTCACCTATTCCTCAAAGAAATCTCTTCATCTCAATTTGCTCTAGCATAAAACAGTAAAAAAAAACTCTTAAATGGTCCATGAGTCTAAAATAATAATTATCATCTTTCTGACAGGATTAGGAAATAAGAACTACTTATTATTATTTCAATTTTATTTTTGTTGTTGTTGAGAATATACACAGCAAAAACATACGCTAATTCAAGTTTCTACATGCACAATTCAGTGACATTACCTTCCTAGTTGTACAACCATTCTCACTCTCCTTTCCTGAGTTGTTCCTCCCACTTTAACATAAACTAATTGCCTCCTAAATTTCCTTTCTAATGTTTTGAGATGCTGTTGTCAATTTGATCCCATATAGACAGATCTTAAAAGAGCACAATGCTAAAGGCAGACATTCTTTACTAGTTAAGTTAAACTACTGTTTGGATTTTAAGAAGATGTCAGGGGATATTTTTCGTTTAAGGTTTAGAGATGATTTTAGGGCAATAGTTTTGGGGTTCATCCAGCCTCCATGGCTCCAGAAAATCTGGATTCCATGAGAATGTGAAATTTTGTTCTGCCATTTTTCCCCTTTTGATCAGGATTCTTCTATAGAAATCTTTGGTCAAAATGTTCAGTAATGGTAGCTGGGCACCATCCAGGTCTTCTGGTCTCATGGCAAAGGAGGCAGTTGTTCGTGGAGGCAATTAGCCACACATTCCATTTCCTCCTCCTATTCCTGACTCTCCTTCTTCCTCTGCTGCTCCAGGCAAATACTGACCAATTGTTGTGCCTTGGACAGCAGCTTGCAAGTTTTTAAGACCCCAGACACTACGAAACAAACTTAACAACTACTGATTAATGAAAAGTCACCAACTAACTGCAAAACTCCCCAGGCTTCCCAATTTATACTCTAAGTACTCTGCTTAAAGCAATTTTACTCTTACTGTCTCTAATCTGCCATATTTGCTGCTTTATCTATTTGGTTTTTTAAGAAAATAACCATACAAGCTTATTTACAAAATTAAATGACAATGTCCAAGTTAATGAGACCTCAGATGTATTTCTTAAAAAAAAAAAAAAAAAAAAAAATTTCATGGTATCAAATCTGTCTGAACATAAAATTGTATAATAAATTGGATAATTACTTTCTCTTCGTAACGCTCTCAAACTCTATATATACACACCCTCCCAAATTTGCTCAATCGTTTTAATTTAATTGATGACTAACAAAACAGCAATATAAATTTTTTTATTCTAAGAATTGAATTAGTATTAACCTGGGTTAAGCCTCTTGGAAAATATATATACAGAGAAAGTTGGACTACATTTCAGAAAAATTTGAAAATTGGGTGTTTTCATATTAGTGTAATAGGTATATGCTCACTTCTTAAGCTTAAAATCTTAAACAGGACGCAATTAGATCCACTGAGAAAAATCAAGAATGATGCCTCCTATATTTTTTAGCTTACATTAATACTTTTACATTTTTAGCTACTGGCTAATGGATGACAAATATATAGAGATTAATGAGAAACATCCTAAAAACCCGCAAGGATTATGAAAATCATCAGTTTGAGCAAATTAATTTATAGATTAGATGTAATCTGTGCCTGAATTTGTGAAGGAAGTACTTTACTACAGAGCACTGTACAATAATTGTAAACTATAAATTGTACAGCAGTTGGGTGCAATTATCCACCAGGTCTCTTCTAAGACTTGAGAATTTTCCAATAACCAAAATTTTTGTCCTCTTGATTGGCCAATCTGTTTGCAGTTAAGTGTTATGTCTGTTAAATTCCACACCTGTCATATCAAGTACAAGACTAATCATCTAATACTATCCACACTGTGAGGGATGACAGCCTGGGCTTAACTTAAACAGGCAGCTCCGGTTGAAGTTAGCTGTCTTAAGACAGTATGCGTAAAGCAGGAATACCAACATAAGTAAGATTTCATAACATCAGCATTACTATCTCTACAGTATCTCTGATACAATGCATAGTTTATCCTTTAGCACTTTCTCCTTTCCTCAACTTTAGAATAGGGCTGAAGTTTTATTCACTTTCGTTTTTTAAAAGACAGTTTTTTCTTACAGAGATCTGAGTTTTAGAATAAAAATGGATCATTTAAGATGGAAAATTCATAGCAAGGTCAAAGACAGACTCTTGTATAGTGAAAAACGCAAACTGCAGGAGAGAAAGATATGGGCGTTCATCCCAAATCTATTCAATAACCTAGAGCAAATCATTTATACAGTTCTCCTTTATAAAGCCATTCTTTCTAGCTCAAAAACCACAAGTATAAGCCCATCTTTCCCAGAAAATCTCAAATTTATTCCAAAAAAGATTACGTAACACATTACGTAAGACTTCTAAAGTGCTATGCTGTTTGACCTCATTTTCTGCAGGAATTCACACCTTAAAGACCAAACACTTGTTTGTGCATTTCAAAACCAAGTTAAGCTGTTTGATCGTTCCTAACTTCCTCCTCCTTTCCAGACGTGCAGTAAAAAGTCCTTTAGTGACGCGAGCGTCTTTCAGCTTCGGAAACAAGCAACTCCCGCCAGGGCAGACCTATTCTACTCGCATGAAATGTCTCTAGAGTGGGGACTAAACACACTGCTTTACAGCTGGCGTGAGCCAACTTCAGGCACGATGCAACCACTGAGCTGGTCATCTCTACCCGGGCAAACTTTCACCGAAACGCCCACAGCCGGGCGGTCGGAGAGCGCGGTTCCCCCCCGGAACCCGGCACGTCGCCGGTTTTTGGCGCTTCCAGTTTGAAATTAAGAGGATACGCGGCAACCCTCCAGTAGGCGTGGTGAGGCGCTTAGTTGGGATGCAGTCCCGCGGCCGGACGCGCAGGAATCTCTATGCCCAACAGGTAGCGGCCGCGGGCCAGCGCGGAAAGACCAGGCATCGCCGGACCGCGTCCGACGCCTGCGGCCCTGGAAGCGCCCATGACACCTGCCCCGCAGCTCCGGGGCCGAGGCGGGAAGACGCGGCCCCGCTCTGGCCCTTACCATGGTCTCGGCGCTGCTCCTGGACGCGCTGCGCTGCTTCCACCCGGTCCGCTCGGACGCGGCGCCGACTCTGCCTCCACTCGGCCGCGCGCGCCGCACCTGCTCCCCCCTCTCGAGCCGCCTCCGAGACCACTATCGCAACACCAACCACCGCCTCTGCCGCAGTCGCCGCCGCCACCGCCGAAGCACCAGACAATAACCCGAGGCCCTCTTCGCACCGCCCCCGCCAATGCCAGCTCGTCTTACTGGTTTGAACCCGGATGGCTGCCCAATCGCGCGCCTCCTTCTAACCTGACGCCGCCCCCCTCCACCTCCTCCGTAACGGCTGTTTGGTTTTGCACACGGTACGCGAAGGCGGGGCCTCTAGCCCCAACACCGACGGGTTTGTGCGCGAGATCCACGCGCCAGAGCCGGACGAACAGAAGAATTAGCCAATGAGAACGGACGCTTGATGGAAGAGGGCCAATGAAAACATCGATCGCGAGCAAGGTAGGCGGGCCGCTGTGAACGACGGCAAGATTAGCCGATGGGTGGGGCGATTTGAGGTGTTTGTGGCTTTCCCGCCTATTCTCGGTGTCGGTTCTATGGGTTACGGGACTTGTTTGGGAAAGAGTTGGCTGTCGGAGGTCGCTTTTGTGGCGGTTTCACACAAAGACTCTTGGGATTTCGTAGTCTAAGCCAGAAGTTGTAGGGGTCCTGGTTTTCAAGATTGGAAGATCCTTATCCTTAATCCGCAGTTCTTCTGTTTTACTTTACTGATTGTTATCCCCACCACCACCCCGCGGAGCGGATGGTTATCGCCTTAGCCCCGGGGCGTTAATCCTTGGCAAGGTTTCGCTTCGCCTCTTTAGCTTTGCTTTGTTTCCTTCTGTCATTAAATTAAAAGTTGGGGGACACTCCCGACTGAAAAACGAAGAGCTGCAGAATGGAATTAATTTTCCCGTTAAACCTGTTGTAAAAGTTAAATAATTTTTGTGAATCCACCTGACATACAGTACGCGCTCTTGTGAGGGTTCTTCCTTTCATGGCCTGTTTCCACAGTTTAAAAAGGCCCTTCTGTTTGGGTTGACAACGTTTGGAAACAAATAGGGGTGATGGTTACACAACATTGTGAATATGGTTATACTGCCACTGAATTGTGCAGTTGAAAATGGTTAAAATGGCAGTTTGCGTTAAATATATTTTTATACAACAAAAAATCCACAGATTAAAAAAAAAGGCCCAACATCTGTATTAACTGCCTTTCTGTGAGATGCAATTCCATTTCACAGCTGAAGGAATAGGCTTAGACGAGTTTAGTCATTTGCCTAAGATCACAGCTAATAACCAGGATACAAGCCCACATCCTTAAATGTTTGCTTTAATTCATAACGGTTTTTAATTCTTTTAAGGTATTACACACAGACTGTGCACTAGGTGGAGCCCTGGTGGTGCAGTGGTTAAGAGCTTGGCTGCTTAACCAAGAGGTCCGCAGTTCGAATCCACCAAGAGTTCCTTGGAAACCCTACGGGGCAGTTCTGCTCTGTCCTATAGGGTTGATACAGACTCAGCAGCAACAGGTTTGGTTTATGCGCTAAGTACTGGGGATTCAATAGCGAACAAAACAAAGTTCCTGTTTTCATGGCAATTTCATCCTAGTGATGGTATTTTCTCAGCCTACCATTTCTGACATTTATCACCAGGTAGGCAATAACCAGTCCAAAAGTTTGAATTATCTTTCTTCTGACATGGACTGTAGCTTTGGAGTCACACTTCATCAGAGGAAGCATCTTTGGGAAAGTGAATCTTTGAGAAAAGATAACTTTTCAATTCAAGAAAGTGAAGAAGGTGAGCTTCTAAATAAGAGTTTAGAAAAATATGAGTGAAGGCATAGACAAGTGTGAGCAAGGAGTGCCCAGCGGAAGGACTGGAGCAAGACATGCCTAGATTAATGAAGAACATGAAAACTAGGTAGAAGGGCTTGGAGTTAATTCAGCAAGCAATTGTTATTAGTTGCTGTTGAGTGGACTCCAACTCATGGCAACACCATGTACAACAGAATGTAACGTTGTCGGGTTGCACGTCGTCTTCACAATAATTGGTATGCTCGAATCCATTGTTGCAGCCATTGTGTATTTTGAGTGCCTTCCAAGCTAAGGGGGCTTATCTTTTAGCACTATACCAGACAATATCCTGTTGTGATCCAGTTTTCATTGACTGATTTTTGGAAGTAGATCACCAGGCCTTTCTTCCTAGTCTGTCTTAATCTGGAAGCACCACTGAAACCTGTCCACATGTGTGATCCTGCTGGTATTTGAAATACCAGTAGCATCATAGCAACATGCAAGCCTTCACAGTAGGACAAACTGACAGATTGGTGGTGGCAGTAAGCAATACCGAAAAAACAAACCCGTTGCCGTCGAGTTGATTCCAACTCATAGCAACCCTACAGGACAGAGTAGAACTGCCCCATAGGGTTTCCAAGGAGCGGCTGGTGGATTCGAACTGCCGAGCTTTGGGTTAGCAGCCACGCTCTTAAGCACTGCACCACCAGGGCTCCCAGTAAGCAATAGCCATTGTCAATTCCTACACCTCTTTTTGTGTTTCTATCCCAGTGTACCAGTCTACCAAGGCATAAACCTGTGAGTTATCCATTCATTCCTTCAACAAATCGCTGACTACTTACTGTTGGCAGGCACTATGCTAGGTACTGGAGATTCAGTGGTTAGCATCATAGACATGGTCTCATGGCCCTCTACAGCAGGAGTCACATGTTAAAGAAGTAGACACACAAATATGTGAATTATAAGTGTTGAAGGAAAAGAACAGGGTGCTTTGAGAGAAAGAAGTAGAGGAAATATAATTTAGATGGAGTAGGGGAGTGTTCCGTGAAGAAGAAAGAGCATGTGTAAAAGTCCCCGACGTGAGAAAGACTTGTCACTATGAAGGAACTGAAAGAAGGCTAGTGTGGCTGCATAATTCTAAACAGCTCCCTCTTAACCACATCTATTTCCTGAATATCTCAAATGTGGCTTTTTTTGGTATATCTCTGTTACTACTGCTTCAGTTTAGTCCTTTTCATTTCTCACCTGAATTACTGCAAAAGCCTTTAATTAATGTCCCTGTCCCTATTCTTGTCTTCCTTCGATCCACGGTCTCCTCTTTTTAAACAAATTTTATTATCATTTTCCTTAAACCTAATTGACATTAGGACAAAATCCAAATCCTTAGCATGGCCTCAGAAGGTCCTACATTTTCTGGTCCTACTCATTTCATCTCTTGTTATCCCCTACCACACTCTAAACTCCATATTGCCTTTGCACACACTTTTGCCTCTGCTTGAAACAGTCCTCCGTTTCAGCTTCTACCTGTGTAAAAATGGTGTGATGTCAGACCTCTTCTAACTTCAGGGGGAGAGAGGAGAATCAAGACCAACATCAGCCCAAAGCTGATTCCTATGAGGTGGGGGACAGACATTTCTCCACTCCCTAACCTTTTTACCAATTCTGATACCAGCCGTCCATCCCATGGCACTCGCTACTTCTCTACCGGGTTCGTTAATTCATTGGAATGGCCACACAGAACTCACAGACCATACTCACGACTACAGGGTTTATTAGGGAAATGACAGGTTACAATTGAGAATCAGGATCAACTTGGGAGTAACAGTAACAGCTCAGGAGACAATTCTTCGATCAGGACAGCTTCTTTTCGGCTGCTGCCACCAGGCCCGTGCTCTTGGCATGGGCCCTTGCTCTTGGCCTGGGGTCCCGCTTGGGACTGGTCTCTGCAAATGTTACAAAGCTCTTTAGCTCTGTTGATAAGTACCCAGAGGCACCCCAGTCCTCCAGGAAGCCTCTTGCCCAAAGGTGCTCTGCTCTCTCCTTCCATGGGTCAGTGAGCCTAGCCTGCCAGTCTTGTGCTGTCTTCAGTGTTATAGCTCTCTCTGTCTCCTTGGTCTAGGAGGTTCTCAGTGCAGGAAACTTGGGTCCAAAAGATGTGCTCTGCTTCCAGCTCTTCTTCCTGATGGTAGTGAGGTCCCCCTCTGCCTCTGGGATTGGCTCCTTTTAAGCCCAGTCACAGCGGTCATTAGTGGTAGCTGGGCACTGTCTAGTTTTTCTGGTTTCAGGGTCATGTAGACTGTGGTTCATGTGGTCCATTAGTCATTTGGACTAATTGCTCCCTTGAATCTTTGGTTTTCTTCACTCTCCTTTGCTCTGGACAGGAAGAGACAATAGTTGTATCTTAGATGGCCGCTCACAAGCTTTTAAGACCCCAGACACTACTCACCAAAGCTGGACGCGGAACATTGTCTTCATGAGCTATGTTGTGCCAGCTGACGTAGATAAAGTAGGATACAGAACATTCTTCATGAACTGTGTTGTGCCAGTTGATGTAGATTTCCACCAAGTCTATGGTCCTTCAACTTCAAGCCTAGGAAATTCGTCCTTCAAGGTGTTTGGTTATGTCTAAGAAGTTTCCATAACTGTGGCCCTTATGTACTCTGTTGTCTGTATTAATACACATGCAGCACCAACGATTATGTATGTAGAAATATCCACAACCAAACCTATATCTGCAAGGTGGGTGTTCTCCCTTATACCCTCCCACACCTCTTTAGCATACCTATCTACCTATGTATCCATTCATAAATTATTGTTTGTTGATACTATTGTTGCAGGATTGTCTATGTTATTGTAGTTACTGTAGTTGCCCTTTATTCTTGTGTTCTTCTCGGTGTCTTCCTTTACCTTGGGCATGCTATGCTGACTTCTCCCATATTGTGTATTGCCTTCCCTTCACCAATATTAACACGTGTCTTCTATCTAGTTAGTAATTTTCCCTCCCTCCCCCTTATGTCCCTGGTAGCCATCAAGAATATATGTATTTTTTCTATGTGTAAACCTTTTCTTGTTTTTTTATAATAGTGGTCTCATACAGTATTTGTCTTTTTGTAATTGACTACTTCATTCAGCATATATGTCCTCCAAATTCATCCATGTTGTGAGATGTTTTGTGTATTCATTATTATTCTTTATCATTGTGTAGTATTCCATTATGTGTATATACCACAGTTTGTTTATCCATTCTTCTATTGATGGGCACCTAGGTTGTTTCCATCTTTTTGCTATTGTGAATAATGCTGCAATGAACATGGGTGTGCATATGTCTATTCGTGTCACAGCTCTTATTTCTTTAGGGTATA